ACACACACACACACACACTTTTAAAAGTGTCTACAATCTGGTATTTTGTGACTAAAAGTTTCTGTTGTTTATAGTTACAAAATTTATCAAAGTTTTGATTTTTCAGTGTCTTGAGATTTTAAAGATATAATTTAAAAGGATAATATGCAATATATAAGAACTTGGGTTGAAATACTTTTTAAATTAATTCCATAAGTTTGGAAGATTTTTTAACAGTTTATGTACCTATCATAGGCATGGTTATATTCAATCCTGTTAGGATTTTAACAGTCTACTGAAATTAGTAACCAAATTATCTTTTGTTGTTTTTTGTTTGTTTTGTGTTTTGAAAAGGGCTAAAGCCATTTTTTAGGTTGTCTTGGGCAGAAAAGTGAAAAGAGAATGCTCCACTTTAACCGATGTCAGCATCTGAAAAAGATAACACAGAAATGTTTTTCTAGAATACATGTTAAAACGGATAAACATGCACATCGATTTCTTTCAAGAACCTTTGCACTTGCGGAATTAAGGAAGTCATGGTATTCAACTCACTCTCTTGTTGGAGACAAAAATATTATCCTAATGGGACCTCCTGGTGCTGGGAAAACAACAGTAGGCAGAATAATAGGTCATAAACTAGGTTGTTGTGTCATAGATGTGGATGATGATATCCTTGAAAAAACCTGGAATATGAGTGTTTCTGAAAAATTACAGGATGTTGGTAATGAGCAATTTTTAGAAGAGGAAGGAAAAGCTGTGTTAAACTTCTCTGCATCTGGAAGTGTGATTTCCCTTACTGGGTCCAATCCAATGCATGATGCTAGCATGTGGCATCTGAAGAAAAATGGAATAATTGTATACCTGGATGTACCTCTAATAGATATAATTCATCGTCTAAAATTAATGAAGATAGGTAGGATTGTAGGTCAGAATTCTGGAACATCTATGAAAGACTTACTTAAATTTAGAAGACAGTATTATAAGAAATGGTATGATGCTCGTGTTGTCTGTGAAAGTGGGGCTTCCCCAGAGGAGGTAGCTGACAAAGTGCTCAATGCAATTAAAAGATACCAAGATGTGGACTCAGAAACATTCATTTCAACAAGACACGTTTGGCCTAAAGACTGTGAACAGAAGGTTTCAGCAAAATTCTTCAGTGAAGCTGTGATTGAGGGGTTGGCTTCGGATGGTGGACTCTTTGTTCCTGCGAAGGAGTTTCCAAAATTAAGCTGTGGGGAGTGGAAAAGTCTAGTAGGAGCAACCTACATAGAAAGAGCACAGATAATGTTGGAAAGATGTATCCATCCTGCAGACATACCTGCTGCCAGGTTGGGAGAAATGATTGAAACTGCTTATGGGGAAAACTTTGCCTGCTCAAAAATTGCTCCTGTCAGGCACCTTTCAGGCAACCAGTTCATCCTGGAGTTGTTTCATGGACCAACCGGATCATTTAAAGATTTGTCTTTACAGCTTATGCCTCATATTTTTGCGCACTGTATCCCTTCAAGTTGCAATTATATGATACTTGTAGCTACTTCAGGAGACACAGGGAGTGCAGTCTTAAATGGTTTTAGTCATCTTAATGAGAATGATAAGCAAAGGATAGCTGTGGTCACATTTTTTCCTGAGAATGGAGTAAGTGATTTTCAAAAAGCACAAATAATCAGCAGTCAGAGAGAAAATGGATGGGCAGTAGGTGTCGAGTCAGATTTTGATTTTTGCCAGACAGCTATAAAAAGAATTTTTAACGATTCTGATTATACTGGCTTTCTTACTGTGGAATATGGAACAATCTTAAGTTCAGCTAATTCCATAAACTGGGGCCGACTCCTTCCGCAGGTAGTTTATCATGCTTCTGCATATCTTGACCTTGTCAGTCAAGGATTTATTTCTTTCGGAAGCCCAGTCGATGTCTGTGTTCCCACAGGAAACTTTGGCAACATATTAGCAGCAGTGTATGCCAAAATGATGGGAATCCCGATTCGGAAATTTATCTGTGCCTCTAATCAGAACCGTGTTTTGACTGATTTTATAAAAACAGGACATTATGATCTAAGAGAAAGAAAATTGGCACAGACCTTTTCACCATCAATAGATATTCTCAAATCTTCAAACCTAGAACGACATTTATACTTGATGGCTAATAAAGATGGACAACTAATGACAAAATTATTTTATCAATTAGAAAATCAGCATCACTTCCAGTTAGAAAAGGTTCTAGTTGAGAAACTTCAGCAAGATTTTGTAGCTGACTGGTGCTCGGAGGGAGAGTGCCTAGCAGCTATTAACTCCACCTATAATAGTTCAGGGTATATTTTGGATCCACACACTGCTGTTGCAAAAGTGGTTGCAGACAGGGTGCAAGACAAAACTTGCCCAGTGATTATCTCATCTACAGCTCATTACTCAAAGTTTGCACCTGCTATCATGCAGGCTTTAAAGATTAAAGAAATCAATGAGACTTCATCAAGTCAGCTCTATTTACTGGGTTCATACAATGCATTACCTCCACTTCATGAGGCTTTATTAGAGAGAACAAAACAGCAAGAGAAGATGGAGTACCAGGTTTGTGCAGCTGATGTGAATATCTTGAAGAATCATGTAGAGAAACTTATCCAAAATCAATTCATGTAAAAGTTTCCTGAGTAAAAATTTTTTTTTCTGGCTATAAGCATGCAATAATAAATCTCAAATGCTGATTTGGAGTACAGTCACGTTTTGTCTTTTATGTAAATATCTCTCTGTTACCTGCTAGAATTTCAGTAGTCTGATCTCTAGGACTGACATTATACCTGCACTGTACCTCCTCAGATCTTTAGAGTGACAGAAGGTAACACAGTGCACGGACTTTGAGCTATCATGCTTTGCCTTGTGGTCATGAGTCTCACTCTGTCGCCCAGGCTGGAGTGCAGTGGCACAGTTTCAGCTCCCTGCAACCTCCACCTCCCAAGTTCAAACAATTCTCCTGCTTCAGCCTCCTGAGTAGCTGAGATTACAGGCATGTGCCACCACACCTGGCTAATTTTTGTATTTTTAGTAGAGATGGGGTTTTGTCATGTTGGCCAGGCTGGTCTCGAATCCCTGACCTCAGGTGATCCACCCACCTCGGCCCCCCAAAGTGCTAGGATTACAGGTGTGAGCCACCACACACGGACAGGGCCAGTGTTTTGAACCCTTCTCAAATTCCATTTTGGACTACAACTAATTATGTGTATCTTAGACTGTCCAAATTAAATATATACTCTGTCCTTCACTCTTTTGCGTGTTTATGGTTAGGGTGATGAAGTTTGAAAATCAAGACGTAGCTGAAATCCAGGATGAAAGAATAAGCAGAACTGCTTAGAAGTGAATACAGAAATAAAATTATTTCAAGAGGAAAGCTTTCCAAAATTAAGAGTATTTGAGTTGTTTTAATGATATATTTGTAGACAGCAGTTTCCCTATATTATTTGGAATCGAATAGATTCTTAGGTAATTTGTTGTCTGTCTCTTCAATGAACATTGTCTTTTTCTGGCATCTGAAACCACGCACGACTGATAGGCTAATTTGTATTCCCTTGTAGTAATACATTTTAACCATGACTTACGTTTGTGAATTTATTGGATGTTTTCTTTCTGAATTAAAGATTGTCAGGACAAATTAGTGTAATGGACTACTGTCAACCACAAGATGGCATTCCTAACATAATTTGTCTTTGATAACATTCAGTTTCATTTTCTGGGAGAACAGCCTCCATGAAGAAATATACTGAAAGTTGGTAATGAGGGAAACATTTTAATAGTTTAATAAGCAAGAGAAATTTGTTTTAAAAAATTTAAATTAAACCAGTTATATATTAACACCAGATCTCTGGCTTAGCTTTTAAAAAAGAGGTTCTAAAGCTGAAAATTGAAAACCAGGAGCGGCTATAGGAAAAAAGTGGAAGATGCAAAGTTCTGTTTATTCATGTATGTCTTCATTATTTCATCATTTAAGGATATTTCAGTAGATGATATATTTAGAAACTGCATCTAAATATTCACTATGTACATAAGAATGCATTATTTTTCTGAAAGTGAGAGGAACAGTGTTTGAAAAAGACATGATTTCTGGCCGGATGCAGTGGCTCATACCTGTAATCCCAGCACTTTGGGAGGTCGAGGAGGGCGGATAACCTGAGGCCAAGAGTTTGAGACCAGCCTTGCAAAACTCTGTGTCTATGAGAAATACAAAACAATTAGCTGGGCATGGGTGGCTACTCAGGAAGCTGGGACCAAAAGTCACGTGAAACCAGGAAGTGGAGGTTGTAGTGAGCTGAGATCACAGCACTGCACTCCAGCCTGGGGAACAGAGTGAAACTATCGAAAAAAAAAGAAAAAAAATGGATGATTTCTGCCTTCGAGAACTGTAGTTAACAAGACAACACAAAAATCTTGTACAAGCAAGAGTTATTGTAATATGGTATGTCAATAAATGGAAAATGAATGATACAGCTAAGTGCAGTCATATTTAAGAGGAAGGAATTGCTATGAGATAGTCAGAAAAGGTTTCACAAAGGACCTAGAACCTAAGATGAGTCTTGAAGGATGGGAAGATTTTCTAGGTGAAAAGGAAGGGGAAAACATTCTAACAGAGGCAGAAGAAACAGGGAAGATGAAATGCCCAGGAGTTCACCTGCATTTATTTGTGGACAGCATATTCTTTTACTGGCCAAAACAATTACTTCATGTCTTCAGTTTTTCTCAAAACCAACTCTGGCCCTTCACTCTCAGCTAATAACTTTGCTTCATTCTAGAGGAACAAGTAACCACACATAAGACACTCAGGCATCCTATGATCACATGTATATGTTTGCTGCACCCATTTCTGTCTCTTTTCGCTCTCCTTTGATTGAATTGGGTGGCATTCCTTCTCTTTTCAAAGGCCAGTCTCTTTAGGTGTGCCTCGAATCCTATTCCCTTCAGCCTACTTGAATGGCACGTGTCATCAGGTACCTTCTTGTTCTTCAACTTCTCCCCTCCTGTGTAACCTTTCTGTGGCATTTAGAGTGTCTCTTTTTGTACTTTGGCATAAGAACAAAATCTCTTTAAACATCCTCATTTTCCCATCTGTGCTTCTTCATTCACCAAACAAGATAAAGCTCTTCACAGAGTTATTTACATATATGGTCTCCACTTTCTTGTCTTTCTTTTTCTCCAGAGTGTAAAATATATGCAAAGTTTAAGGATAAGCATTAAATACCTGAGTACTCACCACCTCACTCGATAGAACATGACTCACCTTTGGCTCCTCTTTGATTGATTGCATTCACTTTTCTCTTCCAGAGGTAACTACTATCATAAATTCTTTGTTATTCATTCCCTTTCTCATAGTTCTGCATTGTTTAGTTTTGACTCTTTGAATTTTATATAAATGGAATCATATTTCATGTGTTATCCATGACCTATTTCTTTTTGCTCAGAGGCTTCCAAATTCATTCATCCAGGTGAATGAAGCCACAATTCATTGGAATTGTACTACTAAATAGTATTCTACTTTTATGAACACCATAATCTATCCATTACTGGACATTTGTCTAATTTTTATCTGTTTTTGTATCCAATAGATACACTGATTTTCAAAATTTGTATTGAAGGTTAGTGTCAATTTCTTAATATTTGTGACTCAATAGCATGTAAAACCATTTTTATGTCAACATTAAAAATGAGTTTATGAAATGAAAATTGATAAATTTTCAGGCTATGGTTATAGCTTTCACCATCTGAAATTAAATATAGTGAATTTGTAAGATATTTGAGAAAAATGAGATTTTTAAGTTATATATGGAAATTATTAAACGTTTTCATCAAAATAGTTTAGAAGACAATACATTGTTTTATATGAAGTTTTAGTTTTAATAGTAATTCATTTTCAAAAATAATCATCGATGGCAAATATTGTTTTAATTCATTTATAAACATAATTCAGACTACTTAAGGTTAGTTTAAAAAAATCATAAAGTACCTGTTTTCATGTGAACTTCAAACCCATGGAAACAGTACTGTTTTTCTCCCTATCCAGGAAAATGCATGCAATCTACATATGAAAAAGATGCTTGTGTAGGCCTCATTTATGTACTCCAACCACTAAAATCATTAGTTCTTCTAAGTTTGAAACTTTTATGTTAAAAACAAACAGCCTTCCTCAAAAACAGATATGCTTTTCTGACTCAAAAAAGCCAAGCCAAGAAGTTGCTAATGTTGTGGGAAAGGGACATGTCAAATGCAAGCAACTAAATCAGTGTAACTGATGTCTGGCAATACTTTGATCAACTGGCAATATTTTGATCATAATCCTACATCAAAAGTTGGGATTGCTTCATAGAAGGATGGTGTAGTCAGATTACCTGCTTTTCCTTTTAAAATCAGAACTCTGTCTGTTTCTTAGTTCTGAGTTAGGGTTTCATCTAATTGGTACTAACAACTGTTCTGAGAAATCATGGCTTTGTGATGTACTTATGATGAGTTTAGTCACAGATGTAGCATTATTTTTTTAGGTTGTTATAGACTTTATTGATATTGTAGTGGTCTATAAAATGCAGAATTGCTAATGACAAGTTTCATTTACAGCTATCGGGAGTTTATGACTTTAAATTCACAATGGATTATTTTTAATGAACAAATTCTCATATTTGGTGAATGAATTTTAAAATGAGTCAATTCAATACCATCTAATCATAAATTTAATAGTATCTTTACAAGGGATTTTTTAAGCATATGCCTTATTACTAATTTTCAAAACGGACAATTTGAATTAGATATTCCAAAGCTCATGAGAAATACTGAAATTAAAAAAGTCCTTAGGAACCATTTTGAACAATTAGAAGTTAAAAAAAAGTAATCACAACCACAAACAATCGTCTTGGTGCTCTTAAAGCACAAATATAAACATGTTAATTTTTAATGACTTAATTTTATTTCAAACTAAATTAGACATCTGTGTTTCTGATGACATTAAAACTTAATTTATAACTATGTGCTCACCAATAGGTTTTCTTCAGAAGGTATGTAAAAAATACCATTTGGGGGTTGCTTGGCAGCACATGGCACAGGTTTGCAATCCTTGTTGTGTCATATTTTGTTTATCCATGTATCTGCCTGTGGATGTTTGAGTTGTTTCCACATTTTGGCTATTGTGGATCATGTTGCTATGTGTGTGGGTGTACAGACACTAACACAACCGTGCTTTCTAGACCCTGCTTTCAATTCTTTTGGTCATATACTCAGAAGCAGAGTTGCTGGATCATATTGTAAGTCTATTTTTAAATTTTTTTGAACAACTCTCTTATTCAAAGAGAGTTATTACAGCAGATGGACCATTTATATTCCCACCAGTGGAAACTTGTGTTACATTTAGAACACAAAGTTATGTATAATTTAAAAAGTCAAATAGTTTTATAAAGCTAAAATGTAAAACAGGTAGTATCCACTCCCCAGAGGTAATTACTCTCAAATCAACAGTTTCTGCTGGCATTTTTCCCTCCATATTTTTTGATAACACATGATAACTACTATTTTGAACTTTGGCTTTAGATATTATGTACTGACATTTTTCTATAAAAGTTAAATGTTTACTTTTCCTGCTCTCACTGTCCTGTCCCATTATCCTCTCATTTCCTTACCTCCCATCTTCTAATATATTGTAATTTTGGATTAGGTTAGAAGTACTGTTTGCCTTATTATGACTATTAC